GGTTCTGGCCCTTCAACAAAGTTGAAGAGGGGCCCAAAATATGATCTTTTCCAGAACTGTAAAAACCTCAAAAACCAGCACAAGTATGGCTGCACCCTTGTGCAAGAAAAAGGGCCAAAAGATGGCCAAAGAAGGAAGTGGTATATAAAAAGCTCAAACAGAAAAATATCCTTCTACAGAACTGATGAGGGACCAAAAATATGCATATTTACAGAACTGTAAAAACTCCAAAACAAAATACAAGTATGCCTAAAATGCCATGCAAAATGAGGCTCAAAAGTGTCTAAAACATGAAGTATACAAAATAATCACCAAACAGAAAAAAAATGTTAATGAAACATGAATTATAGGCCAAAATAATTCCATTTTCAGTTCTGTGAAAAAGCCAAAAACAGAAGCAAAGGGGGCTGCCAATCTATGCAAAAATGGGGGCCAAATAAGGGATATAACTACAAGTGACACATGGAGGCCCCAAATCATGAAAGGACATAAATTAAATATGAAGAATGGACCAAAATAAGCACTTTTTCAGAACTGTAAAATGGCCAAAAACAAAATCATGGTAGGCTGCCATTGCATGCAAAAATGGGACCAAAAGAGGAGTAAAAAGGTGAGTACAACATGGAAGTCCCAAATAGTGTTGAGCCCTTCTTCAATGTTGAAGAGGGGCTCAAAATAAGCCTAATATCAGTTTACAACATGCTCGAAAACAGATTGCTCATGGGCCAAAAATAGCATGCAAGATCATGACATATAAGAGGATCAATGCAGCAAGTGCATCATGGAGGGCTCAAACAGGGTTGAGCCCTTAATGAAAAGTGAAGATGAGCTCAAAAGAGGGCCCCTTTCAGTTAGGGCCGGAGGTTGAAACAAAAAGCATATGGGTCTTACAAATGGATCAAGAAAAAGGGTCAAAAGAGAAGAAGTGTTACTTACCCTTGAAGATCAAAGCTTTTGTTGATTCTTGGACCAATTTGCAGCTCCTTTAGCCTTTGAGAAGCCTTCCTTGTTGCTGGAAATGAAGTGGTAATGGTAGAGCTTGGTGGTGTAGAAGAAATGGTGTTTAGGGACTTAGAGATTTTCAAGGAAATGAGAGGTATAGAGATGGAGTTGTGTATGGAAGCTTGAAGGTGAAGTTTTCTAACCCCAATCTAGGATGCCACCAGCTGGTTATAAGGGCCAAAAAGGGGGTGTAAAGGTGGGGGAAAAGGAGGGCAACTTTCCCCCACAAAATATCCCCCGGATATAGATATTTTTTGGGGGATAAAGCTTCACAGCTGTAAAGGGAACAGTGAGGGGAGCATGGCCGGCCAATCACTTTTGTTGCAGGTGGCCGGCCGGCCACACCACCTAGCCGGCCGGCCAAGGGAAGAAAATGGCCTGAACAATTAATGGCCGGCCACCAACTGATGGTGTCCTCCAAGGTGTGTAGATCACAGGTATGTGGTTGAAAATTGGCAACACTGGCTCCAAGGTGTTCAACATTGCACTGGAAGAGAGGGGTAAAAAAGTAATTTTACAATTACTGGCCGGTCATGGGTTTTTAGGGGCCTCCCAGGTGTGCAGATCACAGATATGTGGTTCAAAGTTGGCAACACTAACCCCAGGGTGTTCAACATTGGACTAGAAGAGAGGGGTAAAAAAGTAATTTTACAATTACTGGTCGGCCATGGGTTTTTAGGGGCCTCCCAGGTGTGTAGATCATAGATATGTGGTTGAAAGTTGGCAACACTAACCCCAGGGTGTTCAACATTGGCCCGGAAGTTGGAAAAACGGGCGCCGGGAGGCTCCGGAGGAGAGATAGCTGGTTGCTGCAACAATTACTAGCCTCCCACCCTTCAGTGGCCTTCCTGGTGATAAAACAGAGGTACCTGCCAAAAATGAACAAAAACCGATGCAAAACGAATGCTCGGGGGCCAAAACACGCAGTTCGAGGCCCCGAAAAATGGCTGTTAAGCACCGAAAGTGACGCTCGGCCACGAAGTGGGTTTCTCAGACCCCAGTGTCCCTCAAAAGGGAGCAAATAAGAAGTATGCCAAAAACTGGAGTGATAGGAGATGGTTAAGCGGTCCCGAACCGAGGCACACGGCCTGACGGCTCCGAAAACCGGGAATCGGGCTCCGAAATGGGCAAAATGGCCTACGGACACAGAATGTAGCCTACGGCCACTGAGAGATGGTCTGTGGGACCTCTCTCCTCCCTCAGGAAAAGAAACAGAGAAAACCGAGCCGGGTTCGCAAACCGAGGCAAGGCACAGAAGAAGGTTCGGAAGTCCGGAGGCAAGGCTCGCAGCCGCGACTCTGAGGCCTCTGAACAATCACAACATGCAATATCACCGAGTGCTCAACTGGTGATGTCTGAGTCTTAAGATCGGTCAAAAATGGGGTGTCTACAAAGCCCGTAGGGCATTTGCTTTTGTTGTTAACATGTAATACTTTTGTAAGGATTTATTCTGATTAATAGAAGAATACGGATATTTTGCATGTCTTAATTGTGGATTTGATGTTATTATTTTGAGGGCGTTACACATGTTTTCCATAAACAAAAATATAATGTAAATTGCGCCCATGCAAACATCATCAATCTGTCCCAAAAACATCACTATATCCATGCCAACATCATCAATTTGTAACAAAAAAATAATATCCATTAACATTTTATTGAATAACATTTGCATTTACAATTATATATAATAAAAAAAATAATAATAACATAGAACTTGAAAGTAATTATTTTCATGGAATCAATTACAAAATCATTTTATTTTTTAAGTAATTAGAAACTAAACAAAAACAGAAACAATGGTGGATCAGACTCATATGGAGTCAAAGCTTTTAGGGGAAGCAATTTCCAATATCTCAACAAGAATGTTATAAGAAATCCATTGGAAGGAGTCCTATGGATGTCCAAGGTAAAATTTTCGGAGAAGGCCATGTTAGCAAGGAAGTCACATTGGTAGTCTTTTTATCAGAGAGCCCCCATTGGTGCCAACCCAGCGGTGGGGCAGGATGTAATTTTTGAAACCTCAAAGGAGAATATGTAATTTAGCTAAACTTCAAGGCGGGTGTAGGTAATTTGCCCCTCAAAATAAACAAGTTTTTAAGTCCTAATGTGCCCTTGAAAAAAAAGAGAAGTAATGTTCCCAAGATTTTCTTTTCCCAATTTTTTAATTATCCAATTGTTTTATTAAGGAGATATACACCATCTCTACTTTTTGTATTTGCTTTATTATAGCTGAAATTTCATATTTGTCACGATGAAGCTGTCCGTGACAACCACGCGATGGCTTGGGGGGCTGTTTTAGATTTTCGTCCCCGGAACGCCATTTTTCGACTAAGTTTAAGTCGTTTTCGACTCTAACTCCTAATCTACAAGTTCGAATTACATTCCGTCTATTGTCACAGGTCATATTTGTCACAGGGAAGCTGTCACAGGGAAGCTGTCCCTGACAGCCACACGGTGGTTCGGGGACTGTTTTGAATTTTTGCTCCCGAAACGCCATTTTTCGACTAAGCTTAAAGTGTTTTCGGCTCTAACTCCTAACCTAAGCTTGCTATTTACATTATGGCTGTCGTCACAGGTCGTATTTGTCAAGGGGAAGCTGTCTGTGACAGCCACATGGTGGTTCGGGGGCTGTTTTGAATTTTCGCCCCCGGAACGTTATTTTTTGACTAAGTTTAAAGCGTTTTGGGCTATAACTCCAAACCTAAGCGTGCTATTTACATTCTTTCTGTTGTCACAGGTCGTATTTGTCATGGGGAAGCTGTCTGTGACAGCCACACGGTGGTTCCAGGGCTATTTTGCATTTTTGCCCCCGTAACGCCATTTTTCGAATAAGTTTAAGGCGTTTTCGGCTCTAACTCCTAACCTATGCGTGCTATTTACATTCCGTTTGTTGTCATATGTCGTATTTGTCATGGGGAAGCTGTCTGTGACAGCCACATGGTGGTTCGGGGGGGCTGTTTTAAATTTTTGCCCCCGGAACATCATTTTTCGACTAAGTTTAAGGCGTTTTGGGCTCTAACTCCCAACCTACGCATGCTATTTACATTTTTTCTATTGTCACAGGTTGTATTTGTCATGGGAAAGCTGTCCGTGACAGCCACACGGTGGTTCGGGGGTTGTTTTGAATTTTCACCCTCGGAACGCCCTTTTTTTACTAAGTTTAAGGCATTTTCGGCTCTAACTCCCAACCTACGCGTGCTATTTACATTCCGTCTGTTGTCACAAGTCGTATTTGTCATGGGGAAGCTGTCCATGACAGCCACATGGTGGTTCGGGGCTGCTTTGAATTTTTGCCCCTGGAACTCCATTTTTTGACTAAGTTTAAGGCGTTTTCGGCTCTAACTCCCAACCTACACGTGCTATTTACATTCCGTCTTTTGTCACAGGTCGTATTTGTCATAGGGAAGCTATCCGTGACAGCCACACGGTGGTCCGGGGGCTGTTTTGAATTTTTGCCTCCGGAATGCCATTTTTCGACTAAGTTTAAGGCGTTTTCAACTCCTAATCTACGGGTCCGAATTACATTCCGTCTATTGTCACAAGTCGTATTTGTCATGGGGAAGCTGTCTGTGACAGTCGTTCTATCTTTTTTTACATAATTAATTAATTAGTTAACGAATTAATGTGTTATTTCTTTTCTCCTCTTATTTGTATAATGTCAAAACAATTCCAAGTTCTCCAAAACAATAATGTCAATATGTGAAGTATTTTTGTAGAACTTTTAGTATCATATAAATAAAATTCTTCTTACCAAATAGGGCAATTACCATCTGAACCCTGCAACAGAGTTGGGAGTCGTAAAACCATGTAGAGGACAAAGGTGAGAAACTACCATTTAATACTGCAAAAAAAAAAAAGAAAAAGAGTAAGCCTAGTTTAGTCCCCATTAGATGTGGGTAGAGAGGTAGATTGAGTACAGACCCAACCTTTGGCATTATTTGTACAAAATGGCTACTTTCACAGAGATACTATGTTACAATATGTCAACACCACAATTCTGAACAATGAATTCATGAAGCATGTAATTCACTAGAATCAAATTTGTAACCTAGAAAATTGCTAGAAAACTTGGTGAAGTTGTTTGGGTCTACTTTAACATGATTTTCTCTTCCACAACAACCAAAATAACAAGCATTAGCTATAGGAAAACAGACCACCACACAGAGACACACACACACCCAAATAAGGCAGGTAGTAAAAGCAACCTTGCATGGTAGTTAGTGCAGGAAAAATATTTCTGAGAAACAAAAAGAAAGAAGCCACTCTTATTGTAGATATAGCATTAAAACCAAATACCTTAAACCACTATGTGTGTCATTGCCTTTAAAACCCAATTCACTTGCTGCCACAGAAGAGGAGGGTCTCTTGTCTTGGATCGATCTTCCACTTTGCAAGAATCTACTTCTGAATAATGACTTCAAAACAAGTACAACATAAAGCAGTCAAAAAGATTTCAATGCTTCATGGGCATAAATCCCAAACTTATTAACATCATGGCTAAATGCCAAGCATGGAAACAAAGCATCAAACAGATATATATGTGTGTGTGTGTGTGTGCGCGCTCGCGTGTGTGTGAATATTTTAATATAAAAAGGAAAAGACATAATTTGAATCATCTCGACAAGTAACACGCAAGATACACAACTTTCTCATAACTTGCATTGAATAATAATTGTGATCTTTACATGGTATTCCTGTAGAATACAAAAAAGAAAAACTAATGAAACAATTTAAGAGAATAATTTGAAATATTCAAAGTCAAACTTAAATATATGAGGTATGAAACAGATCCAGCAATCACAACATACCAGAATGTTAGCACCAATACTAGTTCCAACAGCAAATAGACGAGCCTTGGCATATTCATAATGAAGATAATGAAAAACTTCACTTTTATGAATCCAACAAGTTAAAGTAGAGTTTTTTTCCCTTTCAAATAATCCCACAAGATGTATAAATAGGTCCCTTACTAATCCTAGTTTAATCCTTAAAGTAAACCTTCAATCCAAATTCAATAAAAAATAAGACAAACAATCCCAACCATACAAAAAAATTTAGATTATTTAATATGAGATTATATAGATGTAGAAGTGATTGACACAAAGTTTAAAATAACTAAAGCCTAAATGGGTATGGAAACATGGAATTAGGAAATGGTACAAAAGGTTGTATAGCAAAAACAAGTAAGGTCAGCACAAATCTAAAGCAAAATCACCAGCCTAAATACTTTACCCCAGACCTGCTAACCAATCCCCCTAATGCAAACTTTGACTTTTTGCAAGTTCAAAATAATATCATTAATTGAAAAATCCAAGGAGGGGCAAGATACTTTGATCCACATTGCAATCCTTAATTTAATAGTCTCACACAGCTCCCCAATTTACCAACAATTTCATTTTAAATTAATGAGCTCATCAAAACAACTCAAGAGGAGCACAAGGACATTGCAGAAATAGAGTGCAACCAGCGTAATTTCTCCAAACAAAGTTGTGATTGACTTTTGGCAAAGGATTGAATTTGAATTGGTTTTTATCTTTCTTGTGAAGAACTGGCTTAAAAGATTATAACATGGTCCAATAATTCAAAGTCCCGTAATCACATTATTCTTTAGCAAAACAGAATAACCTTGGTACAGCAGCAAGCAATATTAAAAAATGAAAACCAGGTTAACTGAATATTTCTGTTTGCACTAAATTCTCTGACTTCAAGACAACATAGTTTCTTCTGTTAATAGTAGACAACCAACAACACTTGATACATTATATTGATCTCAACTCTTAAAGGCCTCAAAACCATTGACTTACTGCGTAACTTTTTTCATCACTATAGTGGGAGTTGTAGATAAATAAAAATCACCAAAACAAACCGATGCAAACTTAGCAAAGACCATAATATCATTATCAGATATGTAATTCATATGTGATTTAATGGAGCATGTCTAATCATGATATTATCAAATAGAAGAGGGAACAAAACAAATTTTTTCGGAGGAAATCAATTTCTACCTACTGGTATTGCTCATCCAAACCTTCCACTTGGACCGGCACCATGGAGCCATGCACGAGCATCTGAAAAGAGGTATAATTTCCACATCTCCGAATCAAATTCACCAAAACACACAGAAAGAAAATAAATAAATAAATAAATAAAATCCACAAAATCAAAATCTTGTGATGAAGTATGCATACAAGTAACATTCGGATCGGAATCGATTGGATGATTGGAATTGGAAAGCCATTGCTTCGCATGCTCAACACAGGGGATGTATAATGAATCCATCGATCCAAACTCTATGGCCTTAATCCAAACCCTAGGAGCAGATTAAGATCGTAAAATAAGAAGACAAGAAGGAAGAGAAGAAACAAAGAGAGAGGGGCTTCCGAGAGAGAGTTCTTCAATGGCGAATCAAGATCTGCAACTCTAAGGATGAATTATCTGGGAGAGAGAGAGAGAGAGAGTACCTTCATGATGTTCAGATATATCGACGAGTTGGATGGATAATACAATTTTGTGGATGGATCGGTCAAAATCAAAACTTAAATACGATAGATACATAACTATATGAATCGAAATCAGTCAAAACTTTAATCGGTAAAGAAAGCAAGCACAATGTCGAAGAAATCTACAGAAAATTGAACGAAGATTACGATATATATATATACATAACTATATCTACATGTATCGAAATCAGTCAAAAACTTCAATTGGAAAAGGACAGAATAACCTGAATGTCGATGAGAGCCGAGGCAATGGTGAGTTGCGGTGGCTATGTTCGACAGTGGAAGATTGATGGACACTGTGGTCGTGTGCGATGCTGAGATGAGGGGCGTGTGATTGATTCTCTGTGTGTGTGTGTGTGTGTGTGTGTGTGAGAGAGAGAGAGAGGGAGAGCAAGAGAGAGAACCGTGTGAAGACTAAGGTAGCGTTTGGTAGAGTTTTTTTAAATATGATTTGAGAATAGAGTTGTATTTTACGTTTGTGAGTTTTAGAATTATGATTTGAGTGTAAAAAATTTATTTGGTGAATGAGTTTTGAAAATAGTATTAAATTGAGTGGGAATTTTTGATATGACATATGATATCTAATACAAAAACTTACAACTCATAACCAAACACACAACTCAAAAATCTATTAAAAGCTCACAAAAAAATTTTAAAAAATTCAAAAATATTGTTTTATTAAACATATAAAAAAAAGTGCCAATCGCAAAAAATAAATAATAAATAAATAAATTTGCCATGTTCCAATTGACTGCCGGTCGAACGACCGGTTTAGCCAAATTTAAAAAAAAAAAATTGAAAATCCCGCCTGACACAAAGTTTTCTGTTTGTTGTGGAAATATAATTTGAAAATCGTATCCAAACATGGTATTAGAATGTGGGGGTAGAATTATAGTTTGAAAACCCTTCCAAACATAGCCTAAATTTCCCACTAAAATTTTGAACACATTTGCCGACTAAATTTTAGTCGCTGAACATAGATTTTTGGCGACTAAATTTTTAATGGCTATAGCGATCCCGAGTTTACCCCTGTTGTACAGTGATCCAGACATGTGTCCGTGGATGTTAGTAGTTGATTATTATCTTGTTTACATCATTTCCTACTTTGTATTTGAGTCATAGGATGTGTTGGGCAGGTTTGTTGCAAGTTGGTTGAGTCTAGAAACCAAAACTAGTTGCCCAGATTTTGGCCTGTCCGCTCGAGCAGGGGTTTTGGCGCTCGAGCGGGGAATACACCCATCCAGTATTTCCTGTGCAGTGTTGGACGCTCGAGCGGGGGATTGGACGCTCGAGCGGGAGGTTGTGAGTTACGCTCGAGCGGGGCTTCGAGCGCTCAAGCGAGGACCTGTTGTGTCGAGATGCTGGGAGAGTGCATCCGGCGCTCAAGCGGGAGTTTGGCCGCTCGAGTGGGAGTCTGTGAGTGACGCTCGAGCGGGGGTTTGGACGCTCGAGCGGGGAGACTTTTATATAAATCCAAGATCCGACTTTTGGATCACTTTTTCAAGATCTTTCCTCTCTCTTACTTTTCGAAAAAGCCATTTTTAGAGCTTCTCACTCTACAACCGGCCCTTCTCTCTTAGATTTGATCTAGTAGGAGTTGTTTGCTCACCTTTTGTCTTTACGAAAGTTGTGTTGATCGTCGAGGGCTTCCTTTTAATCTGAAAATTTCGGGATTTGGAGCATTTTGGTTTTGGTCTTCATCTCCTTTGGGGCTCCGAATTTGAGGTAGGGATATCCTACTCCTCTCTATGAATTTTGTCTTTAAATTTTAGTATTTTGAGATGATGGGGTTGATTTGGTAATTTTGTGAAAGTTTGGGGCTTTTGTGTAATTTTACAAAAGTTGGGGTTTTATTTATAATAAACCTAGATGCATGTTTGGCATAGAGAAATGGAATAAATGTTGAATCATTGATGAAAATGGAATCATAAAGGTTGTAATGTTAATTATGGAAAATATCCTAATTACATTGTTTGATTAATTAGGTTAATTAATCGTGAGAAATGAGGTTATGAAATGGGAATGTTGAGATTGGGAATGTATGGGGTTAAAGGGTGTAGTTGAATTATTTATCACTCACCGAAATGAAATGTTGATTGAATATCCATTTGTGCATTTATTTTCTGTTTAGAAATAATTGCTTTGGGCTATCGGTGTAGGATAGTCGTGATTGTTGTAGACAATGCATGATGATTAGGCAAACGAAAACTAATCAATGGAATGTGTCATGGAATTTGACGGTGGATTGAATACATTAATTTTATGTATTGATTGATGGTATATAGAACCAATGTGTTTGTATACGTTATGTGTAGAGGAGGAGATGGGGGATGTACTCCACGGTTTAGGGGAAGATGGGGGATGTACCTCTAAACCGGATAGTGTTGGGAGAAGATAGGGGATGAACTCCGTAGACACAGCTCATATGCTTGTCTAGAGAAGTGAAGATAGAGCTCTTATGCTTATCTTTGAGAAGTGTAGATACAGCTCATATGCTTGTCTAGAGAAGTGAAGATAGGGCTAATATGTTTATCTTTGTGAGATGTGGATGTAGCTTATATGCTTATCTGTGAATGTGGGATATAGTTTTTATACATATCTGTTAAGACAATGATAGAGTTAATATGCTTATCTGTTGAAAAAGGGAAAATGAAAAGTAACTTGGACTCATAAGTCGTATGACATAAAATGTGATTTATGTGGATGTATCAGTGTTGGCCATCAATCAATTGCTAATCTTTTAGTCATTGTTCATGGTTGGTTTAGTGTATTTCTACTGGGCTGTGGCTCACCCTATATGGGAATATCATTTTCAGGTACAGGTAGCATGCCACCTCCAAGGACATAGCTTGGGAGGCTAGAGGCGAGCAGATTGTTGTTGTTTAAGTTCCTTTTGATGTGTTACATGTATATTCAAGCCGAGGGCTTAATGTGTAGATGAGTTAGCACTCTTTTGTTGTAACCAAGTGTTAACTTGGAAAGCTGTAAGCCCGTAGGGCATTTCG